CATATTTAACTAAAACATCTTGTATAAATGTATAAATAGAGACATTAACCTACAAGCATATTTAACAAAAAAAATTTTTTATAGCAATATAAACAGCAAAAGTAATCTACATATATTTTAAACTAAAACATTAGTATATAAATGCATAAACAGCAAACTACATATACTTTAACTAAAACAATTTAATATAATATACATATACAAACAGTAATATTAACATACATATAATAACTGAAACATTTTAATGATATATAAACTTATAAACAGCAACATTAATCTACACATATTTAACTAAAACATTTTAATATAATATGTAAAAATATTTAAAAAGCTACATTAATCTACATATATTTTTTATGAAAATACAATATTTTAATATTTTTTATTATTATAAAATTTAATTATGTAAATAGCAACATTAATCTACATTTTAACTACAAAATTGTAAGATAATACAAATTATTAACAGCAACAATAAGCTACATATATTTTTAACTAAAAGTTAATAAAGTTATTATAATAATTTAATATTTAAAAAATTATATATATTTACGTAACAGCAAAATTTGATCTGAAACATTTTGATATAATATATTAACAGCAACTGGTTTCTGATTTACATCATTTACACTATTAAAATATTAAGAAATTTAAAAAACCCCATCTTAAATGACATGCGGTTTAGGAAACTTAATGACCAGAAACAAAGTGCACTTAAAATCGCTGCAATATCCATGATGTGGCTTAATTCGATCGCCCCACCCTAGCCTGAACTAATCAATCTAAATCTATAATGCACTGTAGCGCGAACGGATGACACAGTAGCTTATGACATGAAAACTCTTCTTTGGTGCATCACACACAGCAAAAAGCACCTCACGCCAACCACAGCGGAACTAGTTTTGTTTATATTTCCACCAGCGTTAAACATCTGTTCACGGTTCCTGACCAGAGTTCTGCTGTGTAACATGAGGCTAATAGAACAGCACTCACACAAACACACCCCGGTTTAATACTACACCAGTGGGGTCACACTGACGGTGTACAAGCATGCCAAACCGTGTGCCTGCCCTCCGCACACTCATTAGGCCAGCTCTGCGATGCCATGTCAACAGATGGTGCTTATAAACAGCAGAGCTCAGAAAGAACGTAAAAAACCCAAATAAACAAGTGAAATTAACTTTAACAAGGACGAGGACACAAATGCTCTCTTTAGATGCAGATTCAACGTGTTAATTGGCTTCGAACTTCGATTCTCTGCGCCAAACGAAACGATTCGACCATCAGTCATATGGACGCTACTTCACACTTTCGATGACTCACGCTTTCAGAAATCTGCTAATTAGACAATGTTCCCGCAGGACTTGAAGTCTTATGCGAGTCAACATCGCTTAGGCTCGATTCTGATGTCCACTGACTTTGCACAAGTGCTTAAATTTAGCACGCCTGTTGCAATAGGACAGTAGCATACTGGTTGTTTATAGGACCGCTCGCTTAATACCCCACTGACAACAGCAGTGAGAGACAGCTGCATTGACAGAGTGCTAATTAACCTTATAAGACCATTCAGAGAAAGCAGAGTATGTGGGAGGAAGCTCAGTTAGATCTGTGGCCGTAACCTTGCTGTGAGCTCCAACAACGATCTGAGCACTCACTAAATTTCATACAAACCTCCACAGACAGACATTCACTAGATACTAGGGCTGACAAAAAAAAAAATCTACATTCGAATGCAAAAACGTTGAATTCAAATTTTAGTAGGGGTGCTCCGATTGATCGGCTACCGATCACTATCGGCCAATAATTACGTTGGGATGTTTGATCGGCGGTCTCTAAAAAGGCCGATCTCAAGCTGATGGCGCGCCTGCCGTGAGAGGTTTGGCACGACATGCAGCGGCACCGTCTCAGTCTCTGTCAGGCGTGGGTGAAATAATTATAATGCTGAAGGTAGGCCTGGGCGATAAAACGCTTTTGCATTGAAATCTTTATTACAAGCAATCCTGTGGTTCATGTGTGAACGGCTTACGTCACTTCCTAGTACACACTGTCGGTGCGAATGAAACCCTTTAAATGGTACTGGGAAATAGTTCGCGCAAAATCGTCCCAGTACTTTAGTATTATTTGCTATCTTTGTTTTGTTTTTTGAGCTCGGCCCAGTGCATTGTGGGATTTACTTCTTTAAGAAGGATCCCTGTTGCGCTGCCTTATAACTTGGCCAAAGCTAAATTTTAAAAAGATGCTGCTTATCCTCTGGAACAGCTTTTGTGACTATGATGTTTTACAATGCTGTCTATCTAGGGAGCTTACTAGGTTTCAGAACACAGCAATTAACTTGTCAACCAATAACAGAGTAAACCAAAAACATTAGCCCTTCTAGACACACTCACAACATCTACATTAGCACATCACGGTGGTCCGTATTGATTCCTGGCTGCCGATGAGAATCAGCGTTTCTCCATCAGCTCGCTGGGTGTTTTCGGCATCAGCACAATGCGTAAGGTGCTTCCTGCCTCGCCAGCACCCACAACCTCTCTCAAGGGATCGCGGGCCAAATTCAGTGAAATATTTAGAGCGTGCAGTGTGCCCTACCAAAAATAGACATGAAACACTGTCTTTGTTCTGTAAAACTGCACATGTGCATCATATTTGAATGAAGTAACATGCATGTTACTTTCACTGCATCTGACCCAGAGAGTACAGCACGTTTCAAAAAGGAAACACCAAACAAGCCAGCTGTGAGTCACAGCTTTTTGTATGCGACACGCTTCACTTCGCACTGAAACAACAGAAGAAGTGCATGACGCGCGTAAAAGGAACACCCAAATATGAAGAATCTGCCATTATTATTTCATACTCGTGTTGTTCCACACCCACAGGCTGTTATTTTTTCTGTGGAACACAATAGGGAATTCACACAGCTCTTTTCCACATGGTTCACAGTGACCATATGAACCAAACAGGCTTAAAAAAGCACCATAAAAATAACCCAAATGACCCAACTTAAGTCCTCTGAAGTTACACGTTAGTTTTCAGTGAGGAACAGACCACTATTTAAAGGGATAGTTCACCCAAAAATGAAAATTTTGTCATTATTTACTCACCCTCCACTTGTTTCAAAACTTTATGATGTCGTTACAAACCCGTAAGACCTAAGTTCATCTTCGGAACACAAATTAAGATATTTAAAATAAAAAAATAACGACTTTATTCAACAATTTGTCTCCTCCGTGTCACCCTGGTGCCATTTTGGACAGCATCCACTGAACGTAAATTGCGTATGCTGTTTTGTGTCAGCTGTGCCACGCGGCTACGCTGTTTATGTTGTTTACGCTTTGATTTGAACGAAAACAACGTTCAGTGGATACTGTCCAAAATGGCGCTAGGGTGATGCTAAGGAGACGAATAGTTGAATAAAGTCGGGCTTGGACCAACATGAGGGTGAGTAAATAATGACAGAATTTTCATTTTTGGGTGAACTATCCCTTTAAGTCACAGATGGCAAATAAAATATGACACAGATTAGCCACCATTGGTTTTTGTGTCATGGTCAAACATCATTGACGTCAAACCATAAGTTTTATTTTTTCCAAATTCCATTTTTATTTTTTGGGGCTCCATTTTTAAAGGGACAGTTCACCCAAAAATGAAAATTCTGTCATCATTTACTCACCCTCCACTTGTTTCAAAACTTTATGATTTTTTTTCTTCTGTTAAGCACAAAAGAAGATATTTTGAAGAATGTTGGTCTCCAAACAGTTGAAGGTAGCCATTGACTTCCATAGTATCTAAAAAATACTATGGAGGTCAATGACCACTAATCTACCATCAACTGTTTGATGACAGAATGTTTATTTTTGGGTGAACTATCACTTTAATGGTTAAATTCAACTTTAGTAATCTAAAACCATCTCTAATTAATTGAAATCATGAAACTTCTACAATTTAACAACAATTTTTTAAAAGTAGGGCTGGGTATCGTTCAAAAATTTTCGATATCGATACCGATACCTTGACTTCGATACCGGTTCCTGAACGATACTTTTTTCGATACCAATTTTATGAAATCTATTTGAACAAGATTACATTATCTAAAAAAAAAACTTTGGTTTTATTTTTCAGCTTGTTGATGTTTATACAGTGTAGCCTTACAGCTACGGGGGCTGGGACGCATTTACACCAAATACTCGCGTGTGAGCCACATCTCTGAGTGTCACAGTCGCGGACTGACTGTGCAGACCTATCAGTGTATTAGGCTATAGTAAGATACCATGAGCAGAGAGCTCCGTACGTTTTCGCATCGCTCTTGCGGATGTCAAACACTGATCGATCTGCGCCTCACTGACGTTGATGAGATTAACCCCTTAGGTATCGAAATTTGGTACCGACGACAAGACGTTTTTCGATACTCGATGGTATCGAGGCAATTCGGTCGGTGCCTAAAAAGTATCGAACTCGATACCCATCCCTATTTAAAAGATTAACTAAATTTTCATTTTTAGGGCCCTATGAATTTTTTTCTCAAATTCTGATTTATTTTTTACCAAATTCTGTGTTTCCAATTTTTTTTTTTCTGACATTTTTAAATAAATGTTAATAATCAAAATTATTATTCATTTTTATAATAATAGAGCTCTGTGAAATTTTCTGTTTTTCAGAAATTCTGTGTTGTGTATTTAAATGTTTATGGTAGTTCCGGAAATCATAGTGTCCTACCTTATATCACTCATTTAAAGTCGCAATTTTTGATTTGAGATCTGTGATGTTTTTCTTATATTACTTGTTTTAAATTTAAAATATACAGTCTGCTTGCCGTACAAAGACATTGCATGATTTCGACGTAGCACGTAGTACAAACTACTTTTATGGAAATTTCTCATCCCATCTGGAGCTTGACAGATGTGGTCATTACGAACATCACTGTTTGACAAAGAACTGTGTGACAAAGAGTAAATGATGACAGTTTTCGACTGCTTTAACACAAGATAAAACCATGAGCAAACCTGAATCATGTAGAGTTGAGCGATGCGGTACTCCTCCACACTCATGGGCATGGGGATGCGGTACTCTTTGATCAGCATGTTGGCCTTGGAGCGGGGCTGGGGCTGGAAACGCTCCGCTGGGTCAGGGGCAAATCCTCCAGGACGGCCCTTAGCTCGAGTGCATCAGAGAGAAGGAGCCAAGCTCATTTCTCAGACCTGGGCAGAAAACAGAGACAAATCAGACCTGAAAATCATCTACAGACGTCCAGAGGAAAGCTCAAGAGATCAAGCATCCCAGAGACGCCCATCTGAGGGAAGTATACAGAGACTCCAAAAAAAATACAAAAAAATAAATACAATAAATTTTGTGTTTCTAAAATGAAAAGGTCTAAACATAATCATAAACTGCATACATTCAGCAAGAAAAAAGAAGAAACCTAATTCGAGATATTTGCTCTAAAAACAAGTCTTGTTGAGTAAATTTATCTTGCTTGAAGGATGCTGTGGTATTTTTACAGTAACACTGATACAAAAATACTGATTAATAAAATTACACAAGATAGTTTTTTTTGTTTTTTTTAAAGTCATGCTCAGCAAAAACACCAAAACAGCAGATCCAAGATCGGTTGCATAATGCAGGGCTCTAGTAAAAACATCTAAACATAAACAGTCTTTATCATAAACTGCACAAATTTAGCAAGATTTGCCTAAATGCAAAAAAAAAAAAAACTTACTTGGGCTACATTCACACGAAGCCAGAGCTTTCCCTATCCGATCTTTTTTTTCCCCCTCGTCTCAAGAAATATCTGCGTCCACATGAAGCCACGAAACCCACACAAAACGATGTAGTATACATGCCAGACCAGTATGTGGCGCTGTAATTCTGCCACAGAGATACACTAAAAACGGAGAGGAAGACTTGGACTATGCGCATAAACCTTGCGCGCGGTATACATACGAACATGGAACAATACATTTATTAATCTGTGTTAATGTTAGTTAATAAAAAGACAATCATTCAGTGTTTGTTCATGTTTTTGTTGCTGTTACGTGACGTAGCGGTGTCTGACTAGGGGCGAGACGTGGGCTGATGATGTCATCGTTTCAGAAAATATACGGATTCGCTGTCCACACGAAAACGCAAGGGCGGCGTTTTCAGATTTATCCACTCTAGGACCCGGTTTCAAAAAATATCAGTTTCACTCTCCCAAGACGCCGGATCCGTGTGGACGAAACGCCTATACGATACAAAATGTATGCGTATACAGCTAAACGCGTCTCCGTGTGGACGGAGCCTTAAAGATATTTTGTCTGAAAACAACTCCTAATGTCATGTGCAAAATTGCTTCTTGATTAAATTTATGTTGTTGTGAAGGATGTTGAGATATTTTTACAGGAAAAAAGACAAAAATAATTTTGATTAAGAAACTGAACAAAGATGCGTTTTTAAAAGGTGAACCACTTTGATCAGTTAAAGTGTCTTGAAAAAGCTGAAAAAAAAAAACAGCAAAATATGTTGCAATGGCATCTCTCTTGCACAAATTAATCCATACACAGAAAAAAAATACAATAGATCTAAAAACGTCCCAGAGATGCATATGGAGAACCAATAAATAAAAACAATAATTTAGAGATTTTGTAATTTTGTAATGGAGAACTCGTGTTCTCTGAAAACAAGTCTTAACATCTTATGCAAGTTTGCTTCTTGAGTAAATGGATCTTGTTTGAAAGAAGTCATGCTGAAAAACAAATAGCTTGAGAAGCTGAAAGACCACACTTAAACAGGGATACAACAGATTTTTTGCACAAACAGATATTTAGAAATATATAGAGAAACACTGGTAAATCATCTTAAACAAAACTGCTCATAAATAAACTGTATTTCTGCATTTACAAACTGGCATATTCTATATTATTTTTTAGAAATCATTACTTATTTGAAGAACACTGGAAAAGCATTATTAACTGAAGCGCATACAGTATTTAAAATCTGTGTATTTCTGTTTACAAAAGTAGCATATTCTATATTGCTTCATAATCACTCACAAAACCCCAAACCAACAGCTGTTCTGTATAATCACACAGGCATTATGTATTCAGACATAGTGGTCTCAAACACATGCAGCACAACCAACTTGCAATTAATAAATACAGTGTTACTGTACGCCAGCAGTGCTGTAATGGAATCCAACTGTCCAGGAATGACATCTATGCAAATGACTTCCAGAAGAAAAAAAAAACTAAACAAAACACGAGGGGCCTCAATTTGACCTTCGGCTGCCGTAAGAAATGTAAATCCACCTGCTGATGACACAGAGGTCCGGCAGACACCGTAACTCTCCTGCGCTTCCACTGGGCGCGTCACATGACACAGGCCGCTTAGTGTAAGACGGATTATCCACAGACAACTTACCCAACTCTTCCCTGAGAGGTAAAGCTGTGCTCGTGTGTGCAGAAAGGTGAGCTGGTGTAAACACAGACACCACAGGACTCATAAACATCACCGAACATCAACCAAGTGACCATCTCAAGGTTTCCAAGACGGGCCATGTTAGGTGCAACAGCTGTCGGCGCTAAAAACAGCATCCGTGACGAAAAAATATATAGCTATTTGATCTATAAATAGCTGGAATGGCTCGGTTACGTCATGCACACTCACAGTAAAAAGCTTTGCGCTGCGATTGTGCTGTCTTGCCCCTGGTGAAAAGGAAGCATTCAACACAATTACAATAGATTGGCTGGACCCTCGACGAGTCTCTAAAAATAGTAATAATAATCAAAGGGTCACAAAAGGAAAGGTTAGAAACCAAATATCATCACCACTGCTTCTTTCCAAGATGCTCCAAAGCTTAGGTATTAATATAGGAAATTATATAAATTATAGACATTTATAATGTTGCAGATATTTATATTTCAAATATGTTTTCTATTTCTGATTCAAACATGCTGTGCTTTTGAACTTTCTATTCAAAGAATCCTGAAAAAAAAAAAACATATATCACGGTTTCCACAAAAATATGAGGCAGCACAGCTGTTTTCAACATTGATATTAATAATAAAAATGTTTCTTGAGCAGCAAATCAACATATCAGAATGATTTCTGAAGGATCATGTGACACTGAAGACTGGAGTAATGATGCTGAAAAATTTGCTTTGCATCACAAGAATAAATTACATTTTAAAATATATTCAAATAGAAAAAAGCTATTTTACATTGCAATAATATTTCAGAATATTTCTGCTCTTACTGTATTTTTGATCAAATAAATTAAGCCTTGGTGAGACTTTAAAAAAAACATACTTTTGAATGTTAGTGTACGGTTTCAATAAATTATTAGTCTGATGAAAGATTAACTTGAGCATAGATGCTGAAGATCTAAATGTATAAAAAAAAAAGTCACGCAGGTTTGAAATGAAACTAATAAATTAAGCAAATTAAATACAATAGTTAGCCTAAGTGCTTTAGAGAGGATTTTCAACGTTAAAACAAAAGGCTAAAATTCCTGCATTTATTCTCTGTTCACTTATAAATATCAGAATAGGGTTTCGACATTCTTCCACAGGAAAAACGATAAAAGATCACAACTGGACGGGATTATTGAGAGCAGTAATGATCAGCGCTGGTGCATTTTGGTCTTGAACTAGGTCAGGGACCCGGAGCATCGCAGCTACTCTGGGCTTGTGGCTAGACCTGAAATATCAGACAAATGCATTGAGACACCATCGTGAAGGCCTGAGACATTCTGCTGTATGCCAGACACTACAATACCGACACAGCTGCTCCTTGAACAGACATCTACCTATTCTTCAAAGGACATTACGGATGACATCTTCACTCCCACTGAAACCAGTCCGTCCTGATGCCACACCGCTGCCGTCACCTGTCGTGCTGTTTCACAACAAAACACAAGTGCTACGGGACTCGTTTGTGTCAGACGTGTCGCGAAACACTGACATATGTACCTACTGAGAGGGATTTCAGCGCATTATCTTTCCGTTTCTCACCAGCTGGTTATGCCGTACTACACTGGAGCATGTGTTGCCATCATTCTGTAACGACAAAGTAAACACAATTCTCTATAAACACATCAGATGCAATTTTCCATAATTATGTTGGGAAGGTTTCTAAAAATTCCTCCCGTTGGCAAGCGTCTACAGTGCCTATGAGAGGACAGTTCCCTACTGAGACTGCTTTCCCAGGACCTGTGTGTCCAAACAAACGGACACCACAATCCAAAGTCTATTTTAAGCACATCTCGGAAGCAGAATGCAAAATACAGTGACTAAAAAGAGTGCAATAACATTTAATGGCGTATTAATTAGCATATTGCATTAGAGAGAAATGGAAAAGGTAATTGCTTGTTTGTGTCAAGTGTCCACATGGTAATATGGCATATCATCATTTCAGTGTGTCGCATTTCAACAGGCATTTGACACCTAGAGAACCTGTTTTGTATGTAAATTCAAAAATACGAGGAAATGCTGGCTGAACTGACAGTATCTGTAATGTACAGCCCTACAAAACATCACATTGACACCATCGTTAATCATTTCCTTTAAGATTAACCATTGAGATTTTTCCCCACCTCAACCTCCATCTTAATACGTCAAGGCGTGTATCGGTTAAATTGCGAGGTGAGGCAATTTGGGTTTTGAAACGCCCAAATCACAGCCGAGACTTGCACAGATGGATTTGCATGTGAAAATACTGTGGGATTGATGAGCATTCCATTAGAGACTCGAATAAAAACCAGGAGAGCACAGCATGCAGCCCTCCGTCCTCTCAAAAAACACCTGTTTACCAGTTGCGTCAAGAAGCAGGCGCTGAGATTCCAGACGTTTGTTCGAGCGTAGACGTTTTACCTGTTAGATGGCACTTATCATGCTGTCTATCCAACTGATCCGATCAATGGACAGAAAGCAGCCGGTCCACGACTCATTCCCAAACACAAGCATTCTAGCATCCTGCCACCATTGTTGTGCTGCTTTATCTTCTGGTATGAATGAAGATGTCATCAAACGCAGCCGGAAAACATGAAGGGACTCGTTTGTGTCAGACGTGTCGCGAAACACTGACATATGTACCTACTGAGAGGGATTTCAGCGCATTATCTTTCCGTTTCTCACCAGCTGGTTATGCCGTACTACACTGGAGCATGTGTTGCCATCATTCTGTAACGACAAAGTAAACACAATTCTCTATAAACACATCAGAT